CTAAGGACTATGATGTGGGGTTGCTGCAGGTGGTCAGGTCTGTGCTCAAAGAATGAGGTCAGCTGACTACCTGAATATACTGAATGACCAGGTTATTCCATCAATGGATTGTTTCTTCCCTGACGGCATGAGAATATTCCAAGACGACAATGCCAGGATTCATGGGGCTGGAATTGTGAAAGAGTGGTTCAGAGAGCATGAGACTTTTTTTTTTACACATGGCTCCAGAGTCTATCGAGAATCTTTGGGGTGTGCAGCGGTCAGACTCTACCATCATCAATGCAAGATTTGATGAAAAATTAATGCAACACTGACGGAAATACATCTTGTGACAATGCAGAAGCTTATCCAAACAAAGCTCCAGTGAACGCGTGCCATAATCAAAGGGGGTCCAATGAAATATTAGAGTGGCCTTTTTTTGGCAACTTTTTTTTGTGCTAGGCAGTGTAGTTCATGATGTTTGATTTGTCTGATGTCCACCATCCCCTATTTCACTTTAAATTCTAAAAACTGTTTTTTTGCGATGGAAAGACTAAAAAAGGCTTCAAAGACGATCTGCTGAGAACATTTTTCAGTCGTTCAAAGGGAACAAGCTAGCTGCATTAGAACAGACAAGACTTTTTGTTTTCTTTATGGAACTGTGCTTTGAAGTTTTGCTTTTTGATCGTTTGCATGTTCACACGGCGTTTAAAGAATGTGGTGGAATATTAACTTAAGTGCAGGACTTTGAAACACAAACTTGGAACTCTTTCAGGCTGGTGCGATTTTCTGATGACCCAGTAAATCTGAAGCTCAAGTGTCGCTCCTCAGGTTCTGACGCAGACTACAGACCCACTTCAGATAAGAAAAGTGGCGTTTCGCAACATCGGGTCTGCACTCAGCCGTCACTCAGTCATGGCTCTCCTGTCTGTCCTCACGCCGGTCCTGGCTCTGGTCCTCTGCCTGGTGATAGGCTTCTTGTTGTTGAGATCCAAGAATACGGAGACCACATCGAGAGCTCCAGGTCAAACCAAAGGGGCCTCCAAAACAGACTTTAGACCGTGGGTGGACCAAGACTTACAGGATGATACAGAAATTACAGCAAGAGGAGGAGGTGGGTAAAAACTGTTTATTTTGCCAGTATTATACTGTTTTTTGCTTTTATTTCTTCTCATTATTGATTGGTGGTCTCTGTATTGGTCATTGTTATTTGTTTAGGGATTTACAGTAATCTGTTTTCTTAGATATTTTAAATGCAATTAACTTTATTAAATATTATATGGCAACAATACAAAGAAATGTAACACACTTATTTAAATATGCAGTTTATCTTTGGGCCTGAATAAGTTACATTACTCTGGCACTTTCCATTGTTCCTGTCAAACTCCAGACCGTTGCACAAAACGGCACTAATTCTTTTCCCTATCTGTAGACATTTTACCGTTCTTTTTGCTCGTCATTCTTTCAGATGAGGATGAGTGGGTGGATGGAAACGAAGAGGAGGACCTTGCCCATGTGCCCTATTCACCTCCACGTTACCCCGAGGAGACAATGCTTCAGAGGTCCAAAGAGTTTTACACCCTGATGAACCAGCGGCGGTCCGTTCGATTCATCAGCCCCGAGCCGGTCCCAAGAGGAGTCATCGATAACATCGTCCTTACTGCAGGCATGAAAATCAATTTATATGCTGTATTTTAGAAAAATGCCAACGGATGGGATCTTGACTTGTTGTTTTGTTTCTTTCTATGTAGGAACAGCACCAAGCGGAGCCCACACAGAACCCTGGACCTTTGTTGTGGTGTCAGAACCGGAGACAAAGCATCAGATCAGACTGATAGTGGAGAAGGAGGAGGAGGTGAACTACCGCCAGAGGATGGGGGATAAGTGGGTCAGTGATTTGGCCAGACTCAGGTAATCATTCACTTACTCACTCCATACAAAAATGCCATCTGTGTCAATACACTAAATGGAAAATACCATTCGTTCTCCAACCCACACTGCTTATTTTGTTCTACAATTTTTAATAATATGCATCCCACCTGTTCTTCTGCCTGCAGGACGAATTGGATTAAAGAGTATTTGGATGTTGCTCCGTACCTGATCCTCATCTTTAAGCAGACCTGTGGAATTCTTCCAAATGGCAAGAAAAAGACTCATTATTACAATGAAATTAGTGTTTCCATATCCTGTGGGATGCTGCTGGCTGCTTTACAGGTAACCCC